GTGGAGGAGGAGGAGGACGCGCTGTCCCCAAGGGAGGACACAGCGTGCAGGGGGGGCTGGCCAGGGTGGGGGTGCAGCACCTGCGGCGAGGGAAGACAGGGGAGCTGCGGAGGGGATGTGCTAACGTCCAGAGAATGCTATTTCTTTGAGATAAAAATGTAAAATTCGGTAAAGCTGTGCTTTTAACCTCCTCCATCACCAAGATGCAGGCTGGGCCGGAGCGGGTGGCACCCAGTACCTGTGCTTGTGAGTGTTGGTTGCTGCTGCTGGGCCGGCACTGACACCGCCTGCCCGTGTCTGCTGTGTTCCAGGCGCTGAAGCTGAGGGCGGAGGACAAGCACTGCCTAGCTGCCCGCTCGAAATGTTACCTGAAACTTGGAGACACACAAAATGCCCTGAAAGATGCTGAGGCTTCTCTCCAAAATGACAAAACGTTCTTCAAGGTAAACGGCGTGAAGTGGTAAGAGCCTGGGGTGGCCTAGGACTTTGGAGGGTCTGGGAGACAGTATGGTGTCGGAACGGCCGACTCTAAACATGCCCGTGGCGTTTTTGTGGCTTCCAGAGGAGTGGAGGCGCTTTGTCAGCAACTGAGAAAGAGTTCCGGGATCAGATTTTATCGTACCAAGATGGCAACGGCCAAGGGCCCTCACTTTTGTCTGTTTTTTTTTGAGAGCTGAGAAGCTTTATTTTTATATCTTTATATATATATATTTTTTTTTTTTCCCCACGTGTCATTTTAGGGACTTTACCAAAAAGCTGAGACGTTATACACCATGGGTGATTTTGAGTTTGCATTAGTGTTTTATCATCGAGGCCGCAGACAACGTCCAGACCTACAGAAGTTCCAGCTGGGCATCGAGAAATGCCAGGAGGCCATTGTCAACTGCATCGGAAGTAAGATGTGGCATTTTCTGGCCCCGGCAGCACAGCCAGGAGCCGGCGGGTGGGCAGCCGGGGCGCGTTAGCTCCGCCCGTGACCCAGGTCTCTTTGCTCCTGGGTTCATGCGCTCAGCGGCCCCTCTCAGGTGAAACCAGGAGGCACCAGAACGAGCCCAGCCCTGCTCTGCCTGCCTGCTTTTGTTGTCCGAATGCCTGTTCATATAACTTCAGTGGGTCAATTATGGCACTGACTTACATTTCCAAAGTCCCTGTGAAAATGTTCTGGGTAGTGCAGAACAGAGCAGCTCATCTGCTGACAGCCCTGCTGATCACAGAATCCATTTTGAGACCTTTATCCTCAAATATTCAAAGCTGGTAAGACGTTGGCCTTGCCACCTGAGAGCGGCCTTCCTGCAATCCTGGTTCTCCTCCCGTGTGCGTTGCACAAGAGCAGTGAAACTGCTGCCTGTTGCAGCGGAGCGCCGCTTTCCCAGCGCCTGGCGCCGCGCACAGCACCGAGCCCTGCGGGAGGCGGGAGAGGCCGAGGGCCCGGCGCCGTTCGAAGCAAACCGAGCGCTCGCCCCTTTTCCCGTGGCTTGTCTCGTCGCCGCGCTCTCGTGGACGGGCCGTGCGGCCGCTCCCGGGCACG